TAATAAATGCATACCTAGCACTATTGACATTAACTATATATATGAGTTTGAAATGAGATGAATTTCTTGTCGTAAGGCCAAGGCCTCTAAAGAGAAACATTACCATGTTTTGGTGTAGTGACATGGTAACTATACTCTAGGTTAAAGTTATCCTAGGTGCATTGTTGTAATCCCTTGCCTTGAGTAGTAACATTGAACTCATTGACCAAGGTCAATGCTTAGTGAGTTAGGTCGTTTTTCTTCTTTTGGTGTCTTGTTAATCAAATTAGCCTTAAGTTTAATTCAAAACATCTTATATTTTAAATAATATATTATTAATGATGAAGTGTCAAATTAGTCTTGAATTTGCATAAAAAAGTGAAAATTTAATCTACTTTATAAGTATTTTCAATTCAATAGTTAGATTATAACACCATGGTTTTCTTAATTAAGTATATTTAATATTTATGCATTTGTGATTAATGTTTTATGTTGTTTTAAGTTGTCTGAGTTGTTATATGTTATTTTTCTTGTGTGGGGCGATGGTTAGAGATGAGATGACCCTAGACTTAAGTTATAAGGGTATGACTTAAGTGCTTAAGAGTGGACTCGAGTAAGGTTGAGGTACATAAGACAAATTTTGAGAAGCGAACTTCATAACTTCACAACTCAAGGTTTCTAAAGAGCCTTGCTAAGTGGGTTAATACTTGCTAAGTGGGCCTTCATATGTTGAAGCTCAAAAGCCAAACTTTAGGTTTTCACTCAATGAGCCTATTCTCACTTAGCGATTTGAGCTTGTTGTTGGAAGCTCACCCAACGAGGGTGACCACAAAATGTTGTGGTCGCTGAGTTTGTTCTTGCTTAGTGAAGAGCCCCAAAGGGCTCAGGGTGCTCAATAAGTTTATTCTTACTCAACATGGAGCTATAGAGAGTTTGGGATGTTAAGCAAAAGTGTTGTTTCAGCTATAAAGGTATTCTAGTGTTGTATGAGATATTGTTATGTCAGGTGGGCTAGTATACGATGTATGAACTATGTGTGTGTGTGTGTGTCTATATATATATATATATATATATATATATATATATATATTTATTATGCTTAATATACAATGTTGGTGATGATGATGATGATGATGTTGTTTAAGTTGTTTATATATGTGTCATTCATATATGTTGTTAAGAACTTAGGTGTTAGCACAAGCCTATGATGATTGTATTTGAGTTATATGCTTATGCATGATTTTAGACTGAATGAAGGAAAGGTCAAAGCCCTTAGATTCATGGGGTTGAGTGTGATGCAGGGAAGGACGAACCCCCTTCACCCATGTTTTTTCAAAAAAGCTCTTGAGGCAGGTCCTATTTATGTAGATATTATATATTTTAGGACTATAATCCCATAAGGGAATGTTATTTACTACTTTGATGACTAGAATTATTTTACTATTTTGATTTCGATCAATCACTAAGATCCCAAATATATATTTGTATACGCATTATGTTCAAGTTTTTACTGCATGATAAACCTATTTTAGGTGACTTATGTTTTCTGCTACATAGTTATGTTTATGTTAGCTTTGTGTTCGTGTGAGACCTATCAAATTGTTACATAGATCGATAAATTTCATATTCTACATAAAGTTAATTATTTCTTGCAATATTTGGCATGAAGTTATTAAATATCATAAATAAATAAAAATCAATACCTAATATCAAATATGTCCCATGTACTACATTATTTAAAATATTTTTAATATTTTTTTTAATATATAACCAACAATACAATCATTAATATAGTGCTTGGTTGGAGGATAATGATGGGGAAGGGAGGGGATGGATTTAAAAAAAAAATTCCTTATTTTGTTCAATTTTTAGGAGGAGAGGGCAGGGGAGCAAAATCCCTCCTAACCCAGTTTTAACTCCCCTCTAATATTAGAGGGATTTGGAGGAGAGAAATTTTAAAATATTTTTATTATAATATTTAAAATATCCTTATTTATGTTATTAAATTTGAAATTATAATACAAAAATAATTTTGTTCTTAAAATCCTTTCCCTCCCCTTATTAACCAAACAATAAAAGAATAATTTCCCTCTCTTCTCATCCTCTCAACCAAACAAAATTTCTAACTTCCCTCCCATTTCCTCCCATCTTTTGAATTAAACAAACCTTAAGGTGACATCTAACTTTTGAGACAAACGTATAAGTACAAATAAAATATATCTTGATGACACCAACATTATTGATGTATAATTTATATATATAACATGCTACATAAAAATTCTAATAGTACAAATAAAATATATCTCGATGATATTAACATTAAAATGTTTTTTCTCATTAAAAAAATATTTAACAAAAACTAAATTATTAATCTAAATATTATAAACTTACAACCATATTATAATGTATTAACCAACAAGTGTTGATGATTTGAATAGAATTAAACTTAATCTTTTTAAGTAATGTCTAGTTTCGAGTCTTATGAACAAAAAAAAATATATAGTTAAGAGAATAGACTTTCTTAAAAGTCATTAGCCAAATTCTTCCAGAAATATTAGTTAGCACCAAAGTTAATATTGTACACTGATAATATGATTACTAAACAATATTATGATGTAAAAATTGTATAGTTAAATTTTATATGTTAAAATTATTTATCAATATAATATTTTATATAAATAGGACCTGTTTGGTAATTGAAGTATGATTAGAGGATAATATGATAAAAGAATGATAAATTTTATCCGGATTCAATGTTTATTGCATACTAATTAAATAATGAAATAACATTATTATATTGTTTGTCATGAATTTGACATCCATAATAAGGTATGATGTTGAATATGTTGAAATAACAAAACTACTGTTTCATTGAAATTAATACAATTTTATAAAAGGTAACTTTTAATTTAATTGTTTCAATTTAAAAAATTATAAAAATTTTAATTTTAATTCTATTATACAAATTTTTAGTTATTTATGTAGTTACTTTTCTTAAATGTTAAAAAAAATTATACAATATTTTTAAAATTATAATTATTTAAATTTT